GTAGTCCACTGTCAAAGAGCCCAACTTAGTCTGCTGGGAGACCTGCCTGTTCCCAGTTTCTTTGAAGGCCCCCTGCCTCAAGCTCCTGAAGGAGAAGGGCCTTCTACAGAAGCAAGCCACACGGTATCAGAGGTGGTTGCTGGGGTGCAGTATTTTTGCTTCTTACCCCAAGTGCAATTTGTCTAGTTTGTGTACAGTATTCCCAACCTTCATTTTCTGAGAACTGTGGTGGACTTTAGTGAGTTACGTAGAGGTAAGGGTGAGCAAGAAGAGAGAAGCAGAGCTGCTCTGCCAGTCTGTATGCTTTTACTTTAGAAGAGTTTCCATGTGGCATTAAGAAAACTAAGGGTCTGCAGAGATAGTTCTGTGGATAAAGCGCTTGCTGTGCAAACATGAGGACTAGACTTTCATCCCCAACACTGTGTGGAAAGCCTGTGGGGGGCGGGCTGCATGGATGGCTCAGCATTTTATGGACAGACACTGCTCTTGCAGAGGACTCAGCTGTGGTTCTCAGCGCCTACTGCAGGTGTCTCGTAACCATCTGTAACTCCAGCTTCAGGGGATCTGACACCTCGGGCTCCTGTAGGCACCTGTATTCCAAGCCCATACCCACATCCAAACACATTCACATACATACTTAAAAACACATCATAAAAAAGGCCTGGCATTTTTATGTGGCATGTACTTGTAACCTCCCTCTCAGGGAGACAGATGCAGTCAGATCCCTTGCATTCCCTGACCAGCTCAGCCTTTCCTTCCATCAGTCCCAAGCCAGCAAGAGGCCTCCTCCAATAAGCAAGGTGGTTGGCTCCTGAGGAATGGCGTGTGAGCTTGATCTCTGGCCTCTGCAGCCACGTGCACATCCCCGTGCATCTGCACCTGCAGCTTCGTACACACGAGGGTCCCGACACACACGTGCACACATATGCACATGCATGCACATGAAGAAAACCAAACAAAGTAAAGAAGTGCAGATTTCCTTTCCAGCTCCTGGGCCGATGTGCTCCGTCTGTCCCTGTGGTCCCTCTGCGAGGCCAGCTGCTTTCATCACACACAGGGTCCTGGCTCCATCTGTGTGCAGTTGATTAATGTGCTTCTAAGACCCTTGATAACTTTGATGTTTGGCTAAATCTGGGTAGTGCTGCTTTAAGTCTCTCTTTTAATCATTTAAAAGCTAAATAATTACATCATTTCTCATAAGATTTTCCAGAGATGAATTCTATGTTAGTCACATGAGTGGTTCATTTCCTTGGAATTTTTTTTTTTTTTTTGAGTTACCAAATCTTAATAAGTTGTAACTTGGGAAGCTTTAAAAATGCCTTAGTTTTTAAATTTTTTGTACTTGTGTTCAAATATAATTAAGTTGATGGGAATATGTTGGAGAGTGATTAAAATTTTGTGGAAAGGCGATCGCCTTTGATGTAGCGAGAAAACAGTTATTAATTATGCACATATGAGCTTGTCCATGTTTGATTAATGGACATTACTCAATGCCAGCTTTTATGTAATTAATGATTTTGTAGCTTTTGGTTTGATTGAATACTAGTGTAAGACAAGGCTTAGGTAGGAAAATTCCCCGAAGATTTCAGGCAAGAGAATTACTGATAGGAATCATGATAGAGTCATGTGTTTACATTTAGGAAGTCAAGGAAGCTTTGTTAGCTTTAGAAGTGACTCAGTGAGACTGAGCTGCAGGATCTCAGTCCCATGACAGATATTAACAACTATCAGGGTATCTTTTTTTTCTGTCTTTCCCTTTTTTCTCTTTTAAAGTGTAAATATTTGTATGCTGGGTAGACAAATGCAGAATTACTTACATTATAGGAACAACATGCTCAATAAAAGGAGAGTCCATGAGTGAAAAGTGCCCATGGGCTTGAGTGAATGAAGCAATGGAAGGGTGAATGTGCCTGCTCTGCCATCATCACCTCCTAACAGATTTCTTCCTGCTTGTAATGGTAGAGTGTACTTTAACTTGTGCACTGCTAGAGAGAGAGCAGTCGACCATTAAAGGTGCCCCTCTCACCATAAGGGACACCACTTACATTCCTTTACCATCTAGAAGACGGCCCCTCACCATCTAGAAGATCCCATGCCTCTTTACCATCTAGAAAACATTCCCTTCCCACCTAGAAGATGCCTCTTTACCATCTAGAAGATGCCATGTTCCCTTGCCATCTGGAAGATACCCCCTTACCATTCTAGAACACACAGTTTGGTTGATGGCTTTGGAAACAATGACTGTACACCTCTTGATGTTTTTGGATTTCTTTCTTTTTGTGTGCATTCACTGGTGAGCCTACCTCTATGTTAATTT